CTCAAGACCTGGAAAAATGTTTTGAGATTATGGCTAGGCATAATCTCAGACTTAATCCAAAGAAGTGTGTTTTTGCTGTGAGGACGGGGAAGTTCCTAGGCTTCATGGTCACGAAGAGGGGGATTGAGCCAAATCCTGAGAAGATTAAGGCCATTATTGAGATGCAACCCCCGACATCGGTAAGGGATGTCCAAAGGTTAACGGGGCGCTTGGCGGCCTTAAACCGGTTCTTATCCAGGTCGGCAGAGAAGGCCTTACCTTTCTTTAAAGTATTAAAGAAAGCCAACACCTTCCGGTGGGATGATGAATGCGCCAGGGCATTCGAAGAGCTGAAGACATACCTAACTTCGGATATTGTCTTGTCCAAGCCAGAAACAAAGGAGACCCTCTACCTCTACTTAGGGGTTACTCAAATGGCTGTTAGCTCGGTCTTGATGAGGGATGATGGGGTCCAGAGGCCCATCTATTATGTAAGCAAGGCCTTAAATGGGGCAAAAAGTAGGTACACTCCTACGGAGAAGACAGGGTATGCACTTTTCATAACAGCGAAGAAACTCACGTCGTACTTCCAGGCCCATCCAATTGTCGTATTGACCGACCTACCATTGGGCACGGTCATGAGGGATTCCAATTCATCGGGAAGGATGATCAAATGGGCCATGATGCTTACCCAATTCAACATTGAATATCGTCCGAGGACGGCGATAAAAGGGCAGGCTGTGGCTGACTTTCTTGTGGAGATGACGGGTCACCAGGAAGAAGAACCGGCCAGGGCCATCACCGAACCTTGGTGGTCCATGTCGGTAGATGGAGCCTCTGGACCGAAAGGCTTCGGGGGAGGCGTAGTATTCACAACTCCGGAAGGGTTTAAAGTATATCATGCCTTGATTTTTAATTTCAAGCTCACAAACAATGAGGCCGAGTATGAGGCGTTGATAGGGGGCCTGAGATTGGCCAAAACCCTACAAATCACATGCCTCAGGATCAAGTCCGATTCAAACTTGGTGGTAGGCCACATCAATGGCAACATTGAGGCCAAAGGAGAGAAAATGCAGAAGTACAGAGACTTGGCAAGGGCACTATTGAAGGACCTGACTGAGTATGTGATGGAGCAAATCCCTAGGGGGGAGAACACCGATGCTGACTTACTATCAAAGTTGACGCAAGCAACCCCAGAGCATGTGTCCAAGCTGGCCAGAATTGAGACGCTGGAGAAAGCCAGCATTGAGGGGTTTTCTGTTAGCGTGATAGAAGAAGATGGACAGGCCAATCCAGATCGAGTGGAGCCAGATGACATTTGGATGGATGATCTGGTCAGGTATTACATGACTGGGCAATTCCCTGAGAATGAAGACAGGGTAAGAAAAGTAAAGTTGAGGGCTCCAAGATTCCAAATGCTAGATGGAAGGCTATACAAAAGAGCATTCGGTGGTCCATTGCTAAGGTGCTTGACCAGGGAAGAGGCGGAAAAAGTGATCGCTGAAGTTCATGAGGGTGTCTGCGCCGCCCACCAAATGTCCAGGACGCTCGCGCAAAGGATCATTTTGCTAGGTTATTTCTGGCCTACAATGAACCAAGATTGCGAGAGATATGTCCAGAGGTGCAAGAATTGCCAGGTATTCTACAAATTTCCGGGAAGGCCTGCAACATACTACCACCCAGTTTCCAATGTTATTCCATTCGCAAGGTTTGGGATGGACATCATTGGGGCCTTCCCTCAAGCTCAAGGGAGAAAGAAGTATGTCATGGTCGCTATCGACTACTTCACAAAATGGGTGGAGGCCGAGGCATATGCAACCATCACAACCAAGCAGTGCCAGCGCTTTG